CGTTGCCCTCCCTATCCTATCCCTCCCTATCCCTTGGATCGTTGCCCTCCCTATCCTATCCCTCCCTATCCCTTGGATCGTTGCCCTCCCTATCCCTTGGATCGTTGCCTCCCTATCCGTTGGATTGTTGCCTACCTATCCTGTCCGTTGGATCGTTGCCTACCTATCCTATCCCTTGGATCGTTGCCTACCTATCCCCTGGTCTCGTCGCTGGGTTCGTTGCGTCGCTTCTTCATGATCTCCTTTCTCATCGATGGCTCGTCGTTCCGTCACCCCCTTTTTTTCTTATCTGTGGCTCATCATATCCTTTTTTTCTTATCTATCGCTTCTTCACCCCCTTTTTTTCTTATCTGTGGCTCATCATACCGTTTGCTCACAACTCCTTCGCCTCCCTTTTGCATCCCGTTTCCATATCCTTTTTGTCATCGCTGACTGACCCGTGTCTCTTCATCCTTTTTTCTCATGACCATCTCTGGTCTTCACCACCCCTTTTCTCATCGCCGACTCGGAAGGGGCTTTTCTTCATCCTGGCCCCTTTTCCCATCCTGGCCCCTTTTGCCATCCTGGCCCCTTTTGCCTTTTTGCCTTTTTGCCTTTTTGCCTCCCTTCAGTCGAATTGATCCGAGCTGCCATGTCTTGATAAATCGCCTAAGTAAGGTGGTTGGTTACGTCAGCTGCCAAAAGAAATACGATCTTCATTATTATTTATTTTATATAGCAATTACTATTCTTCAACGTAACATGCATCTCACCAGTCATCACGGACAGATTCAAAGGTTCTTTAGCCACAGGTGAGACCCTTGTGCTGTACACCACCTGTGACATTAGTTGGACTCACTGATCAGCTATAATATATAGCCAGGCAGGAGATAATAAAGGCTTACAAACCTCCCTCAGGATTAACAGTCGTTAAACGTCGATAGACATAGAATGTGTGATAGAAATAGAAACAAGATGCAGGGTTCCAAAAAAAAAAAAAAAAAAAAAAAAAAAAAAAAAAAAA